TTAGCCCATGTGTAAATGCCACTGCAGCATTGCGCAAGTAGTTGGTGAGCAGTCATTTTATGCGAGGCGTCAGCGTACTGCTTCATTAGAAGCATATGCCTTCCAATTTTGTTTGCAAGTCCACCTACCGGTCCTTGAAGATTGACAATGATAAAGGTGTGTGAAATTATCCAACCACTATGTTTCACGCAAAATTATAACCCCTGTGCGAAGCTTCGTTTTGAAGTGGATCATGTGGCTACGAATTTGCCTATCGTAAAGCATTGGTTGGAAGCGAAACCAATAAGGTGTGCTGATCCATCTACTTGCGCTTTTATAAGCGAACGTACAAGCGTCTCGACTCCACCTCATCAGAAAGGCTTTGGGAATGAGCAACATTTGGTCGTGCGTACATCCACTCGCCTCAGCCATTGCGGTTGTCCTGTTGGTAAAGATCCTTTACAATATGGGAGTGAATGGACCATTCCGCATGTGGGACGAGTTTCGGCCCCTTAAACATCCCACCAACCTCACTGACCTCTATCCCTATCACCATGTGGTCGAGCAATTGGAGTGGATCATTGCATATGCTGCAAACAAGGTACGTCACATCGTGTCTTATCCTCCCCCTCCCATTTTACTGTGTGCATCCTAAAGGAAAACCGAGCGACACCTTAGTTCTAACACTGCACATTGAGCAACGCTTTCACTGCCTTAACGCAGACATCGTGGCAGACAGGCTCGTTGACTCACTTGCTCCCTTCGTCAAGGGAATCATTGCATGGTGGAGTTGTGATTGCGAGCCCAAGTGGTTTGCTTTTATACAGCCTCGTCCTCATCCCCACCAGATTTTACAAAAGAAGATCGAGGTTAGGGCTTTGCCAATCGGTGTCATAAGTGGGAGCATCAATTAATAATGATAGTTACGACCTGTCTACCTTCTGGTCCCTGATTCTCAGACTTCAAGAGGAAGTTGGTTGTAGAGGATTTATTAGGCACTGCTGTTAGGAAGGATGGAGGAGCGATAGGATACAGATGAGTTGAGGAAGAGATATCAATCAGACGGAGGGTCCTCGCCGACTGTCTGACTGCTCTGTCTCGGTCGAGAATGAATTCGGTCCTCTCCTATCCCTTTCCTCCGCCCTCCCCCCTTGCACAAGCACCAACATCCTCGAATCCGCCAACATCAAGGTGGGCCAACATCACACATATACATCAAACAGCTGTGCGTCCTTGAGCATGCAAACTAAAAACACCATCACGATTTTGCGAAACAGAGATACTTCGTGCATTTATGTGCATGCATTTTGCAATGTCTTTCCCTTGCGCATACATTCGTCTTGAAAAGTCATTGCCTGTACAACTTTAGAGCCATTTCCCATCCACAAATCCACCAAGGATCTACTACGATCGAAAGTACCTCTACCACTCCACCACTTCTGATGGTTGTCGCTACAAATGCATCTTCATAAACACCACCCACAATCTCAGTCGAGGCGATGTGGCCGTATTCTCCTCCCACTTTGACGTAGCCGCAAGCGTCGACCTTAAGAATCGGGGTGTCCTCGTCGCCTTCGAGACGGGTGAAAGTCCTCACCACGCACCAAGGCTCTCCTCCGCACAACTGGGCCAGGTGAGTGCTGCGTGCAGCAATGCCAAGGCGGTTGTCTCTTGTGCCTCAAACCACTTTACCGTTATGGAAGGATAGCAAGCTGAAGGGTGCTTGTGTTTACTTTCATGTGCACAGGTAGATGGACAAAGTGGTATCATGTCTGACTCCACTTCCCCCACCCCGTAAACGCTTCAAGTCTTCAGTAAAGCAAACGAACAAACAACCAAACGAGAATGACTCGATGAATGAGAGGCATTCCTTTGTCGGCCTCAGGTGAAGGGAACGACTCAGTTCATTGCACTCCTTAACTGACCATGAAGGTGGTTTTAGTCCACTGCAAAACAGACGAGAGACACGTTGATGTGGCCCCGAGCCCTGAAGTTGCATTGGTTAGTGACTGAGATCAAACCTTTCAGTTGCCACGGCAACTCCTATGATCCCACGAATTAGGATGGCCCTGTTCTCCAATTTTTCTGCCCACTTAGTATGTTATTCCGATTACTCGATTATGGAAGAAATTGAGCATGTGCTTGGAAGTGGGACATACAATAATGCCTTGCTTGCCACTCACTCCTATCACTAATCACTGCCGTTAGCAAGGCTTCATGGTTGCGCCTGTTCATCATTGGTGCGGGCGCATATTTGATTTGGGGTAAGGTGCATGAAATGGCCAAGTGATTTGTGCGAAGGTGCCTAGTCGATGGAGGGACCAAAAGAAACGAGTCTCGGCATTGTCTTGAGTGACATTCAACCTGCATCGCTTAGGCTGAGGCATGCAAAACAAAAGTTACGCATTGCTCAGCACCTTTGCACAACGGTTGCTGATTTTCGATTGATGATTCGCCTTAGCACTGAAGTATGAGGCGTGGACGTGTCCACATTCCCGCCATACACCACTCCATGTTACATACCTTCCTGTACAGAACATCCACCTCATTCTCCTGTGCTTTCTGGGGTGAGCTACGAAGGACGTAGGATATGGGTTGTGTGACACATGCCTTTTGTCAAGTGATAGTTGAGCAGAACTTACAAAGTTTGAGATGGCGACCAACACCCGTCACGAAGTATAAAGGAGTGGTATTTTGTAGCAGCAACGAAGCTACGCAACCATATTTGAAAGAATGACAATTGAGATTGTGATGTACCTGTTATCCACAATTCAGTGTAGTTCTCCACAAGACAATACCATTCATTTCTATCACAAATACTTATCTCACCTTCACGAACCCGCGCACACTCAATACACTGACACTCGCCATTACTTCACCCCTTCTTTCGTGCTGCAATCTAACCTCTCACGCTGTTCAGCGTCACCGAGTAAGACTGGTGTAACGAGACATTCCTACACTCACCACCACCACCACAACCACCACCACCACCACCACCACCACCATCTTGTCTGTATCGCCTTACATGCACAATACAGTTGGGCAGATGTACACCTCACAGTGCCATTCTCTCCACACAATCACCCATCGCAGGTGGCTTTTGAGGCCAAACTTCAGCATCATGCCAACTGTGCGGTGTAGACAGGAGGCTCCCGTTCACGCTCAACTCATGCATGCTCAAATATCTGATCTGCCTGCACACCGTGCAGTAGGATGACATTTGGCGGTAGAGGAGAGAAGGACATCACGACAACCGTGAGCGTTGGCGTTGCTGATTGACACCACGTGCGGCCAGTACCAAGGCTTGAGAACCCAATCAAAGGTTGGAGGGAGCGTGTGGCTCCTGTCCACCACCTAGTCACTCCTGAGAGACCAAACAATTAGGCCACGGAGCAGTCACAATGCAGACTCATGCACATGCTCCAAGTTGTCCACAGTCGCACTCAACACAACAGCATACTCGGAGATTACTTCGCAATGTCCACCGAAATCAACATTGCATGTGACACCTGGAGTGGTGTAGCAGTGGCGCACAAGTACAGT